AGACTTTGCTTATTGCTTTCATAACACACTCTTCTGTTTTATTCACAACTCTATAATTCAATTCCTAGAACACAATAGATCTTAAGTAAATATTCATTGGGTGAATAAATGCAATGGCCCTGATACTCAATCCAGTAAGACATTTTGAGATGTTTTGAGAAAAAATAAAGAACACAGGTATATTATTCTACCATACCAGTGTACCTCAAATTTTCCTCATTATCTGATTGCTTAAGTGGCCCTAGGTAAACACGGACCCTTAATTTTAGGTGATAAAAAGAAGCTTAATCACATAAAAATTAAACATAATATTTATAAAGTTAGTAATATGGGTGCACAATACATTACCAAAAACCCTTAGGGCCAGGTATATTTCAGTATTGAATTTTTTTTCTTAAGATTTTAGAAAGGTAATTAATATAAAACATATTCCATGTATTATGTAACATATCCAGTAAGGTAAGGGCAACACTCTGTAGTTATTTTTTTGGTGCAGTAAAATATCAAAGTAAAATTAGTAAAGACAATAAACAACCTCATTTCAGTTCAGGTCAGGCTTTACTATTAAATGAGTTTGCTATGAAAAAATTGAGATTTTTTAATTTTGGAATTGCAGATATTGTAGACCTATATTCATATTTTTTTCTACAAAGAATGCAATGCAATCTTTTTCCAAAATGTGTTTATCTAGCTTGATCACTATATATAGACTATTGCTTTGTTTTAAATTAAAAATTCTAACACACTATTTAGGTCATTGGGGATGGTAGAGCTACTTATTCACGTAACTTTGTTCTTCACTTTTATACACAGCTATTATCCCATCAGCAATGACCACACTTCTTATGTCCAATCCACATAGGTGGCAAAAACAATGCTTGTGTTTATCACACCATTTCCTCTTCCTGAATACACAGTTTGGGTAACATGCCAGTACCAGCCAGTGGAACACAGATGGAAGTAATAAAAGCCATTTCCAGACCTGGCTCTTAAAAACATCCCACACGACCCTCTATCTCTCATTTCCTTTTCCGTAGCAAGCCTGGTATCATGTGTTCCATATGATATAGCTTACAAGACGAAGAAATGCCACCCTAATTGCACTGGAAGATGATATTAATGAGCAGTAAGTTTTTATTTTGATAAGCCATTAGGATTTTGGGTGTATAATTTGTAACATCAACACAACTCACAAAATAATTTTTCCCTAAATTAGTATCTACCCTCTCATGGCATAAATTTTCAGTGATAAACAGAAAAAAAAAACTCATCAAGCAAATCACCTTCATGTATGTATCTCATGTATGTCACAAGTTGCTCTATATTCTATGCATCATGATTTCATCCCATGGTGAACTGAAATGTCAACTAATATGTGATAGTAACTGCCTTGTAACATTGTATGGCAGTGATATACAAAATCCAGCAGTGTCCCTTGATCAAGACATTTTTCTTATATCTTGTTAGGCTTTCTGAGTTTCCCACCTCAAGTTTCTACAGCATTTCTCAGCTTCTCAGCTTTCTCCAGAGTATCAGGACCTTGGTTCAGTCTATTCACAGCCATAGAAGTGCAGAGAGGTAATGTCCCCTGGAGCAACCCCCACCTGATAGGATTCTGTGTCAGTGGATGAGTATCTAAATTTTCTGTCACTTGGAGGGAAAATTCTGAGGTGTATTCTACATAGTTCATTAGAGGAGTCCTCTAGAGGGATTCCTCAGCAGGAATGAGTTCCATTTTCCAGTGTAATAGCCAGATCAATGGTGTAGCCTTTGTTGGCTTTTCTTGTGAACTTAACTGCCTCACTCTCCCTGCTTCCACACTCTGTTAATGAGTTTGTGGCTTCCTAGAACACCTCTCATACAAACTACCTACTCTGATGGGAACCAAACTTCTCTTGTATCACTGTCTCTTCTGAATTTAGCCATCAAAATAATCAATTTTATACCAATTTCAAACTGGTTTATTAGAGAGCACTTGTACCTTATTTGAAAATGATGCAAAACAGACAACATTCTGGTCACCAGGGTGGTACCAGTGAACAGATTTGCGACCCAATAAAATCTACTTTTAACATTGGCACTTTTCTGTTTTGGCTTCTTATCTGTAAAAGCCTCCAATTCACAAAATCATGTTTTCTAGTACATAGAGGCTTATGTTCTATATTTGTAATGGACCCCCTAGTCACCACTTATGTTTATGCCTTTGAGTTACAGTATGTGAACCTATTGGTATAGTGTACCTGTTTTTATCACTTTTATTCTTTGGTGAACCACTTTTAAGCCACTGATACACATTTGTGATTGAGAATGTAACGCAATAATACAATGATCAGTTGGGTCTTCTGGGAAGCAGATGTTGAAACAGAATTAGGAGTGCAAGAGGTTTACTGGGGATAGTACCTGTGGATGATAGGAGGGGGAAGAAGCAGGATTAGGCAAGGAAAAGTCTTCAAACCATCATGCAGATCTGACATCTGTGAAAGGAAAAGGGATGGGGAAGAAATAGGATTGGGCTAGGAGATTCTTATACTGTAATGCAAATATGACAAAGTCTCAGCCAACACAACAGGGAGCGCCAGAGTGAAGATTTCCCATGACAGCAATCACATTGGGAAGAATTAGCTAGGTTCTAGTACTCTCACCATGCTTAGTAATGTCTGAAGGGTGGCTATCCAGAAAGAGTATGCCTCCTGCTTAAAGGCTGAGGTGGATTCTGAATAAAATCACAATGGATAGCACCTGAAGGTGCTAACTTCCTGACGGGAGATCCAAGAGGCACACCTCCATGGCTGCCGCAAATAGTCACATGAAATACAATTTTAACAAATATAAATACCAATATAAAAAGTACATGACAAATTACCTAAGATGAACTGCACCCTAGTAATTGTAAGGTGAGATGCTATGACCACAGAAATTATTGTAGCACATGTACAACCTTTAAAAATTTAAGATTTATTAATAAAATAACAAGATTTCTATGCAAATCATAACTAAGATTACATTTTAATTTTTTGAAATGTGAATAAAATACTGTCACAGACTTTGACCGCTGGATTCTAGCAAATATCCAATTTCATATAACCCATACTCTTTTGCTGGCTATTGGAGGAGTAACAGTAATACAAACTTTGGCTGATCAGTGAATGTCCAGGTGACTCCCACCACTTCAATGACTACCTTTACCCAGATGACTCATCAATTCATATCACCAGTCTACTCTGAGCTTCAGCTTCATATATCCAACTCCCTACTTGACTTCTCTTATTTTTCTCAAAGGCATTTCAAGTTCACCTCTCATAAAACTGAATATAAAATTATTTCCCTTAATCATGGTTCTCTTCCAGTATTTTTATCACAATGGACAGCACCACCATTTGAGCAAGCAGAACCCACATCTGAGAACTGGCCCCTTTCTTTCAGGGATTCAAACCGATCCGTTCCAGTTCGAACCTCTGCTGAGAATTTGTAGTTCCAAGTTCCCAGGTGATGCTAATGCTGCTGGTTAGGGACCAATTCTGCTCTACCACTAGTAGAGCAGTAGTTCTCAAAATTTCTTATAAATAAGAATCACCTGGGGATCTTTTTAAACTGTAGATTCTGATTCAGTATACCTGGAGTGGAACTGCAAATTCTCAGCAGGGGTTTGAACCAGAATGAACCAGTTCAAACCTCTGCTTTCTTTTCCTTATTGTCATATCCAGTGTATCACAACTGCTGTCTATTTTACCTCCTAAAATAGCTCTTAAATCTGTCCATTTCTCTCACTATTCCAGTCAAAACTATCATTTCTGCAATTGTGTTTACAATAGTCTCCTAACATTTTACAAAATGTCAACTGGACTATCCACATCAACTCTGCCCACCTAATGCCATCTGTTCTCCATATTATAGCTGAACAGCTAGAGAATACAGCTACTAGAATAGATTAATAGATTAATAAAGTTCCTGACCTCTGCTCTGCAGTTCCAGATTTATCTATTGTGTATTACTTTGTTTCTACAATTTGCTTTCACCTAACAGGGGGAACAGTTTATTAACTCTCTGCCTCTGTGCCACAGTCTAGTCCTCTGCAACCTTGGCAACCTTTATTGCCCCCTTGGACATGACCCTGACCCAGTACATTTACAACTTCAACATGATAAGTCCTGGGGAACAGTAATGGCAAGACTCCAGTTGTCTTGGGAAAGAATAGGAACAAGAGATAAATCTTACAGAAATAAAAGGATTTACATCCTCTTTTAAGTCCAGGGAGGGGCCTAGGGGCTCCAATGTCAAGGACATGAGAGATTATTCCCCTAAAATGGAAAACAAGGCGCTGTACACAATACTAACAAGAAATCTTTTTTGGATTTTGGAAGCATCTTTAGAAAGCATTTGTGTGTCTTGACCAGTGAAAAAGTAAAACAGAAATCTGCCCAGAACAGAATAAAAGGTTTTCTAACCGGTGCAGTCTGTGACAAAAGCTGCCCTGCTAGCTGGCCTGATGTCCACCATCGATTCAACAGTGTCCAAGATGCATGAAGCAGACCAGCATAGTATGAGGAAACTCTGCTAAGCCATGAAAGTAGAGTCACAGCAGAGGACCGTGGGATTTTGGAGCTAATTCATGTCACCATTAGCAGGTAACTACTCTCTTTTTGAGAAACAGCTAAGATGAAATACCTGATTATGGAGTCAGGTGAGTGTGCAACATGGACTGCCCTTATGAACTGGAGTCATCAGACCCACAATCCATAAAACTAGGTTTGCCTTAAAACACTCCAGAAAGTGGTATATAAAAGAACAGACTCTCCAGGCCACAAGGGTAAAAGTATTATTTAAATGAGTTGCTCACTTGGATCACAGAACTATAGACATTTATATATTTACAGGAAGGGCTTAATAAAATCTCGTTGAATGAGGAATGAACACATGAATCTGTTCCTAGCAATTAAAAAATTCTTACAGAATAGCAGGCAATCAAATATTTTTCTGGACTGAATTTCACCAGACATTATGCTTCATTAATATTTATTTTAAAGACAACTTTTTATTGTAACAAATATAAATTCATCGGTGTTTTACAAAATGTCAAAAATGCTTTAAGTACAAAAAAAATACATTAGTAAAATGAAAGTTATGCTGTATTATCTGGTATATACTTAATACTGTCAACATGCACATCATATGCCACAGAAGCCCATGCATTATTGGAAGAAAAAAGAAGAAAGAGATAACAGCTATTTTGTCAGATTATAAGTTCATTGCTTCGGTCAGTTTTCTTTCTTCAGGTATACCATTTACCTGCAATATGTAAGAATGAATATGGGCACAAGTTAGTCAGGGCAGGGACACTACTTTTAGAGCAAGAAAAATTATGACAGGAGAAATTTTCTACCTGTTTAGCATAATTTAAAATATTACTTTGCATTATTTCTCTGCATTTGGTTTAAAGAAAAAAAAAAAAGAAGAAAAATTCTAAATGAGTCCTCTCCATGGACTAAAGCCATAATGTTTTGTATACTTCAAAAGGTACAGCCTGAAAATTCCTCCCACAGTAAACAAAAAGAATAAGCTTGACTGCGGGATGTATGACTGTACCTTTTCTTCATGGCTTTTTAGAAAATATCATGCGGGTTGGAAGGGCAGAGAAAATGAGAAAACCTGAAGGGGCATCAAACCTAATGGCTTGGGGTCCAGTCCAAAAGGTAGGGCTATTGTCAACTCGTAACTGCTCTATTATCCCAGCTAGTGCTTAAACCCAGGATTACAACAGCAGCAGCTAGTCCACTTCTTAAACTGTTAATGAGAATTTAAAAGGAAACAAGTAACTAAATGAAACAGAAACTTCAAAATCTACTCCCTGATGAACTCCACATAGTTAGCTACAAATAAAATTATTTGATATCTAAGAGATAAACCCTGTGCCTACATTAACGTCATAAAGAAAACTGACACTAGCCTAGTGCTCTGAGGTACTTGGAAAAAGCAAATAATTGTTTCATGATAATCAAGCACAAATGCAGCCACCTTTTTGTGGGACCAGAGTAACCAAGGTGGAGGAACAGAAAAAGCAGCCACAAAAATCCATTAACAGCACTGAATCCACACATTTACAGAAGAACGGAATAACTCAGAAATTGAGAAACAAACTTCATTTTATTTTTTTTCATTTAAATGGACAGAATGGGAATAACGGATGCAATCTGCACATTTAGCTCTTTTCTCCAGGTGGCATGACTCTATTGAGTATTAAATTTATCAGAGGCAGAAACACAACAATCTATCCTAATTTTACAAAAATTCTAAGCTGATCTTTCTCCCTTTAGTACTTAAAATACTTAGGGAACTCACTCAAACAAACAAAAAACAACACAAAATAAAAAACTAGAGAAACAATAAGGGTAGATAGTATACTTCAGTTCATAATCTGCTCTAAATTGCAGAAAAAAGTAAGAAAACAAAAAAGTATCAGGCTATAACATTAACTAAAAAGGAAATGAAAGCTTTCTTGACTCAAGCAAAATGTCTGCTCCCCAAAACCTCTTTTAGAAAAATAATTTAGAAAATTAGGCTGAACAACTTAAAACCTCCCTAGGGAAGTTGTTTGGCTCTTATCATATTTGCTCTGGCACATATTGTCCTTGTAATTGGAAATGCTGCCTATTACTAAAATGCAACATGTTAACAAGTCTACTTACTCAAAATCTTATACAATGATAAAATAAATCTTTCGAATATTATCTGCCCAAGTTTTTCTATTTTCCTAAAGATATAAAATCTGGATTTTTAAGACACTCAAATATTTACTATTTTTCTAGAAATTACTTCCCTTCTACTCACTCCATGTCTGAAATAATTAAGAATCAGAAGAAAGAAATCTTAGAAGGGACAGAAATCTCTGAGGTAACGAGGAAGAAGTTCTAGAATTTCCTTTGTAGAAATATGCTTTAAAATTTTCCTCTTAAAAATATTAGTAGTACTGGGATTCTTTTTTTTTTTTTTTTTTTTGCTCTGTAGTAACACATGTTTACAATAAAGTTTGTTCCTTCATCAGTCTCCTGAATGCTTACACAGTAGCACCACCACATCGATATATTGAACAGTCTTGTTGAAATATGTTTGCATTTAATTAAAACAAGTAATCAAAATTGGTGGAAAAAATTCTGATAAACATTATCTCGTAATTAAAATTTGATGAACAACTTCATTATACTTGCCTCAAACCTTTGAAAAGTTGTCAAACGAAAATCTCCTTAAATTCCCGAAAGCAGTAACAGAGAAGGTAATTTTTTAATGAAAACATCCAAAAAATATCTATATGTGCATGAAGTTTTTAAGAGACTTACTTAATAGCTTCCCTACCACAATGCCACCATTCATACTCAGAATTCCCTGTCCACCTTACATTTTCAAAACTCCTCTTGCTTTTCCAAAAGGGCTACAAAGGCATTACTGGTTGCCTGGCAATTAGAACCAGGCATCAACCGCTAATTAGAAGACAATCATGAATAAGTTATCTACTCGGTACCAAGATGAATGAAATAATTGGCTGTGGAAAATTTTTAGGGACACTTGAAAGAAATAAACTTAAAGAAAGCAAGTCTTAGGGAAACAGAATAGTCCAGGGAGAATTGTCCACCATCTTGTTGCCACTGGTCATGTTATAACAGCTTTTTAAAGGGGCTTTAAAACCAGGCCAACCATTTCTCATTTATCCCCCTGAAGCCTCAATGATTAGTCACAATGGTTTCCTTTTGTAAGAGTCAGTTTCAAGCTGCTCACTTACTGAGACAAATCCTGGATGCATCCAAGCTAAGAATCTTTCATACCAAGGGGAAGAATAGGGAGCTTCGCTGAAGGAAAGGGGTTTTATTCAGTCTTCCTTAATTAGACAGGACCTCCATGGATGTTTTTGCTCTAAGATCATTTACTCTGTGTTTATCACTCTGGTGCCAATCTATGCAATAATCTAAGCTATTCTTCTGAGGTTCTAACTCTGATTAAGAAATGACACAACTGTTTTGCCTTAGTTGGTGTTGGTGACGCTAACGCTTCATAAATTATATATTACTATAATTTTCTTTTAATCTATTAACTTCGTCCATAAACATCAACTTCTTATTTTTAGTACTCACCTGCAGTCTGCTGTTGTGGAATCTGAGTCTGATGTGGCAAGTTCCTAGAAATGATTAAAACAATGTTTGTTTATACACACATGTAAATAAAGATATATTAGAACGAAAAATTTTATAGCTAGAAAGGACCCTGGAAATCATCTACTCCCACACAAGTCTGGCTCCCACTCCATGAGTTTATGGATGAGGAAAATGAGGTCTAAGGAGCATAAATCATAATCTAACATTCACTGAGTTTTTACTACATGCTATATGCTAAACAACCCCAAAACAACTCTAAGAGGTAGGTATTATTATTTTTCTCATTTTAAAGATGAAGAAATAGGCTTAGCGGTTTGAGGCTACATGGCTAGGAAGCAGTGGACAAAGATGTAAACACAGTGACCCCAGGACTTGTGCTTTTAGCCTGCACACTTTCAGATCTGGGACTAGAACACACACATTCACCGAACAACATATAATAACCAGCCTCATTTACTATCCCAACTTGTGCTCCTTTATCCCCACCTGAGGGAATCAAACTACCAGTCCATCCAGCTGCATGAGTCAAACTGTAGAAGTTTTCCTTGACCCTGCCCTCTCCTTAAGCCCCATATTCAATCACCTGGGAACTCTTGATGATTCTCTTCAATCTCCTTTGAGTCTGCTCCCTTCTCCCCCATCTCCATTGCTACTAACCTGGTTGAGGCCTTCCTCATGTCTCACTTGGATCACTGCAACTGGTCTGACTTATTTCCTCATTCCCATTCTTGCTCCCTTATAATCTACTCTGTACATTGCTGTCAAAATGAATTTTCTAAGACATAAATCTGATTATGTCATTCAAATAGTTAAACAATTTTCAATATTTCCTTATATGTACCTGAAAATTAAGTTTCAGGGTTTTTAGCTTGGCCTAGAAGGCCATCAACAGATACAGTCCCTACATGGAGCCCTCCCTGACTGCCTGAAACAGAACAACTAACTACCATGGCCACTATCATTTTCTGTGCCCAGATAGCTCCCATTCGTCCTTTCAGACTCAACTCAAAATTTGTTACAGTGGACATGTATTGCTCTTGTAATTTTTAAAAAAATCTAATGATGAATGCCATTAAAAAGTTTAAATTATTACATTTAATTTAAAAAAAAAACATATCTCAAGTGCCACATCTTCTATGCCTCTGCTCTCTCCTAAACACCCCTCCTGCAATTAGGTTATGGTTTAGTATGCTTTCATACACGTGTTAACTGTCAGTATTTTGCCCCACATAATATTTAATTGTCCCAAAGTACTGTAACAGTAAGAACCATCCTACTTCATTTAGTATCCCTAGCAGTTAGCATGCAATTAATGTTTTTTGAATGAATATATGCAAAACTGAAGATATTTTCAAAGACCATATAATACACACATTTTTATTAATACATATGCATACCCCCATTTAGTTTCAAAATTTGATATTAAAATTAGTTTATGAAAATGTACGATTTAAGGTTTGGTGCTAGAAGAAATTCTAGGGGTCAGCCCCTTACTACAGAGCAGGGCTTGATACGAGCCAGGGATTTTTAGTTTTTTGTTTCTCTTCAGCAGTGGAACACCTTTAAATTTGAATCCTAAGCAGAACCCTGATATACAAAAGGGATAAATGTGAGGTTGCCTGGGTTGAAAGAAGGGAGCCAAGAATCCCACCTACTTTGTTTCCTTTGCCCCACATGCTGGCTGGCCCCTGAGGCATTTCTAAGAAAACTCTAAGAAACAGAGTTTGAAACCCATTGATCTTAATCATTTTGACCAGGCAAGTATGTTTCAAATATGATGATCTAAAATGGAAAACAGTATGCATGCTAGTTGAATACTGTTTAAACTCCTAAGCTAGTGATGCTAATGACTTCAAGTGATTAAAACAAATTCAGTTCCATTTTAAATATACCCACTCCTCACTTATTGACAGAGTTAGGATCCAAAGACCAGGTCATTATGCAAAAATTGGCATTATGTGAAAATGAACGATGACATCAGATCACAAAATGGAGGGTGACTACGTCAGAACACAAAAATGGAAGATGACTACATCATTACATGATTGCCAAATTACATCGTTTCATAACTGCCAAACCACTGAGAATCATTGCCCAGCCAAACTGACACCTAATCCTAACTGTCATAGCCAGTGTTACTCTTGCCTCACACCTTGGTGTTTGTTACTGCCAGACATATGCTGTTAATGCACGAAACAGTCAGATAGTGAGATAGTCAACAAGTGAGAAATGGGTGTATATTCTTATGGAGATAACAGAATTAAGTCTACCTCAATTTGACAAAGTCACTTAGTAATTCATCCTAATAATTACACATTCTTTTTGCTATTCCCTGTTAGCCCTATTTATCCTTACGTGGGTTAAAGGAGTATTTCTTTTGTTAATTTGTTTTTTCTTTCTGTTTTTCACACAATGTATTTCTATTAGTTTTGATCATGAAAGTAGGAACGATTAGTTTGAAAACCACAAAGCAGAAATAGTGAGCATATTTACTATATAAGTCAAAATGTAATTACATGGCATCGGAAGGAAATGAGTTTTGTTTCAACTACTTGGGAACAACTGATTTGGGTATATCCTACATTAGAAACTGATAAACACACACTATGCATGTGCACAAACTCAAGTACTTCTTCCTTTCCTGTCATCTCTAGCTCTACCCTAGCCTATTAGCAGATTAAATCAACAAACTTTTTTAAAAATCAACAGATTTTTGACAAAAAAATAAAAATAACAAAGAGGACAAAGAAACTCAGAACGTAGGTGTTCTGACTTACACAGTGGTAAGTGGTAAGCAAAAAAGCAGGTTTTCCAAAAGTCCGAGATTAAGGATACTCAAAATTCAAAATAAATATGGAGAAAAGGTAGTTGGGAGCCCCCTTCCCTTTTTTTAGCCTCACCCCACTTATCGTTCTGTGGAACACAGTTTGAAAACCACTGATCAAAGTCAACCCACTATTCTGTCATTTCTTCTCCAACCTCTACTTCTTCCTCTTTTGCTCTATTGTAAAACGTTCTAAACAGCAATGGGCTTGGTGAGTTTCAAGAGAAAGGGTTGGTTGGTAAAGTGCCACACACAAACTTAGCAAGTAAAGAAGATGTGTGAGAAAGCAACTGTTGTATTACATTGGTTTAGGGATGGAGAAGTATCTGCAGTGTCTGTCCCAGATGGTTAAGTTTGAATGATGCGCATATACTCTTGTTGACTTCAACTGAAACTTAGATGAGTTATATTATCAAAATGTTTAGGTATGCAAAAAGGTGCTCAACAACAAAATATGTTGAGATTCAACTTCCTCAGAGTCCCTAAAGTGTGCACACACAGCTCCGTTTTTGTGGCTGCCCAAACTTGTGGCTACATGTGAGCTTGTGAGTGTTAAAACAAATCTATGATGGGCATATCTGAAGTTGCATATTCTATGTAAGAACTGAAGGAAGGTAATTCATAAGAGCGCTGCTTTGGGCATACTGGAAAAGTGCCTACAGCTAACTCTACTAGGTTAAGAAGCAGAGAATGTAGTAAGAAAGGGGGAGCATTTTCATCTTTAGTGAAAGCAGGCTACAAAAGGTAATTATACAGCAGAGTGGCGGCTGACTTCAAATAGAGGCCCTATAATCCTTCAAAAAAGGTCCTTTATAAAGTCATAAAACTGTTTTGAATAATTAAGTTATGAATGGGCAAACTGAAAGGTTATTCTGTATAAATTGCATTACGTAGAAATAAGATTTAAGAAAACTGTAATTCTCTAAATTATTACCCTTAATTATTTTCTAATTTTGCTACCATTAATTACAAGCATTTAAATAGAAAACTGTGGAAATCAGCCATTGCACAAGCTTCGTTCTTTAAGAAACCAAAGGTAATAATTTTAAAATTAATTAATAAGTGATTTGGGAGGAGTACACCATTATTTAAGGAGCCCTGATGGCACTGTGGTTAAAGTGCTCAGCTGCTAACCAAAAGGTTGGTGGTTCAAACCCACCAGCCACTCTGCAGGAGAAAGTTGTGGCAAGTCTGCTTCCTTAAAGATTTACAGCTAGGAAACCCTACTCTGTCCTATAGAGTTGCTGAGTTGGAATCCACTGAAGGGTAATGGTTTTTGTTTTTCTGTTTTTTTTTTTACACTATTATTTAAGGAGTCCTCGTGGTGCAATGGTTAAGCACCCAGCTGCTAACCGAAAGGTTAGCAGTTCAAACCCACCCAGCGGCTCCGTGGAAGAAAAGATCTGGCAATCTGCTCCCATAAAGATTACAGCCTAGGAATTCCTACGGGGCTGTTCTACTCTGTCCTGTACAGTTGCTATGAGTCAGAATCGACTTGACAGCACACAACACCAGCACCACCATTATTTATTATTTGTACAGTTGTTTTAAGGTAATTTGACTTTTTTGGATATACTGTAGAGTAATTCTATGAGAAAGGTTGATGATTATCAACCAATTATATTCCTACCTGCTTGAAGACTCAAAAGACTCAGGGGTTAAGTGATTTGTATAAACCCACAGAATCTGTGCCAGATTTGAAAGCAAATAACATTAGTTAAGGTATGTGGAATATGAAACACTTTTCTTTTGAATCAGTATAGAGTCGTTTAACAATTAAGCAATAGTCATATATTTTTGGAATTTCCAAGTTATTTCAGTAAAACTCATATTGCTCAAATCTTGAATTTTCTACAAAATTTTTTTCTGCAAAAAATGCAGATTTAACCCTGTAAGTACTTTCACTAAGCAATCAGGCCATTATATGCAGAGAGAGATGACAAAGAAATCAGAAATATCATCATAATTTTTATTTTCAAAAACCTTAATTTTAACTAAAATCAATTTAGAATACATAGGGAATATAGAGGAGAAAGAAGACAGTCATTTATTTCTTCTGTGTTTTCCCACTGATTGTTTAAAGCCAAAGCCAGGCCAGCCACAGCTTTAAATTGAAGCAGTGTAAACCTGGAGATCAAAAATCCATCAAAGAGATATTGCCATCTATCACTTTTAGTGTATACTTGCTGAATTTAAAAA